CACTGGGTATGCAACCAAGGTACATGCCCTTGACTGGAATCAAATCTGGGACCCTTGAGTGCACAGGCCGATGCTCTATCCACTGAGCCAAACCAGTTAGGGCTCTGTGTGCATTTTCAAATTGCAAACACTATTTTTCTGATGTGTGTGTGTGTGGCTGGGGTGGGGGAGCGGGTGGTCAAAAAGCCCCAAAGGTATGATAAAGTGAAAAGATATTTGGTGCTAAAAGATAAAATAAAAATCAAACAAGAAAATGTAAACCATGTATTTCTGAGAAAAGAATTAGCCAGTAAAACCGCAAGGGCACTAACCATGAGCTTTGAGGACAAGGATGGCACCAAAACGGCCCTCTGGGAGCCCTCCAGATCTCCTTAGGAGTACCCTCCCCCTCCCCCTCCCCCACCCTGTGGTGGTAAAAAAACCAAACAAAACCTTTTCTTTTTCCTTCACTGAGGGATTTCTTCCTAATTGACTCTTTTTATTCAACTAATGACTGTTAATTAACCAGTGCTATTAGGACTTTACAGGCCATTTATGCATTAGTGGGTGGCTTTAAGAGCCACTTACCAGTACTTGGCACAGACCTGAGTGTGAGCATCTGATCCTTTCAAGGGTGGCATAAAAGGACAATTTCACAATGACTGGCTTCTGAATAGAGGATTTTGTATGGAAAGCACCTGTGTGCTGCAAAGACCTTTCTATTTCTGAGGGCTCTCTCGCCATCTGCAGCCACATTTCTTCACGATTCTGAATTATTTCCATAGCAAACCGCCATAACTTCCAGCAGCCTTTGAAAGGGCAGGCTGACTACACGTTCAACACATTTTTTCCTAAATTTCATTTTTTTCAGCCAAGTGTGTTAACCATTTCTAGGTAACCAGGGCACAGGATAATAGAATGGCCATTCCTGGGTTCCAGATTGGCTGCTGATGAAAGGAAGAACGAAAGAGAATAAAGAGAAAAAGGAGAACTGGAGAGAAATGTAGTGAGGAAGGAAGAGAGAGATTTAAAAATAAAAAATAAAAAAACAGCCAGGAAGATAAACAATTCAGTGGCAAAAGCTGTCAAAAAATTTATTGCAATAATAATCTACACTATAAAAGAATAAAATGCAAATTGACCATACCTTCGTGACACCCTCCAGCCAATCAGGATTGAGCGTGCAAATTAACAGGTTAATTTGCATACAGGCACCGCCCCAGCCACTCCAAGCCTCTGGGCAGCATGGGAAGATAGAAAGGCAGCTCTGGGCTGGTGGTGCTGGCAGCCAGGGGAAGGAAGGCCCATTCTTGCATAAATCTTCGTGTATGGGGCCTCCAGTAATAATAATAATAATAATAATAAGAAGAAGAAGAAGAAGAAGAATATAATAATAATAATAATGTTTGTTGCTGTTCTACAAAATGAAGCTAAGAATGTTTGATTCTAAATTAATTCCAACTGCTCTAGTTGTAAGGGTAACACTGTCAACTACACAGGATTTCATGCATGAAAATAGTGACTTTTAAGGAATTATAGAAGAATTCTGGCATACGAGTCTAACTGGGGGAGCAGCATTTCGAAGCTTACTCATATCTTCCTAAAGGACCCTGGTTATCCATGTTATTTGGGGGCTGTCTCCGTGTGAATTCTACCACACTCATTTTTACTTGGAGGAAATTGCAAATAAGAATATACAGTCTCATAAGGCAATGGGTTTATGGAAGAAGTTAAATGTGTGGATTTGGTGTTCCTCTGAATTTCCTTGTGGACAGCCTCGTCTTTTTTCCCAGACCACCGTTTCAAAACATTCCCTTTTCCCCCAAGAGGAGCCCAACTTGAATAGGTGGAGCGGAAAGGCACAAGTTCCTTCCCTGGCCACCAGGGGGCGAAGGGATCCACTTTAGGGGCCTTAGCACGTGCACTGGGCTTTAAACACCGGTGGACCGAAATTCCTGTTGTTGTTAAAGTTATGGTGAGTTCTGGTTATATCCCTCACTTTTGGTTTATGAAGTGGTTAAATAGAGGGAACAGAAGCTGGTCTTTCCATTCATGTCAGGATATATGTATGTATGCATTTATTTTTTTATTTATTTATCTATTTATTTAGAAAGAGGGAGAAAGAAACATCAACAAGAGAGTGAAATATCCATAGGTTGCCTACCATAAAGACCCCAACCTGGGATCGAACCTGAAATCTAGGTATGTGCTCTGTCCAAATCGTTTGGTGTTTAGGACAACACTCCAACCCAACTGAGTCCCCCAGCCAGGACAGGGTGTATTTATTTATTTTTAAATATATTTTATTAATTTTTACAGAGAGGAAGGGAGAGAGATAGAAAGTTAGAAACATCGATGAGAGAGAAACATCGATCAGCTGCATCCCACACGCCCCCCACTGGGGATGTGTCTGCAACCAAGGTACATGCCCTTGACCGGAATCGAACCGAGGACCCTTCAGTCCGCAGGCTGACGCTCTTTGGAAAACTGTCTATTCAGATCCTCTGCCAGTTTTAATTGGGTTGTTTCTTTTGAATTTTTAAAAACAATGTACATGTATTACTTTCATAATATTATTAGAAGTTAGTTGAACTATGAAAAAGTAATGGGTTAGCCCCCTAGAAGGCTGAGTTGACAGCATCCAGGAGAAGGCAGAGAAGGACATATGTTTTAAACTTTTGACGAATAGTCAAGTTATCCTTCAATGGAGCTGTACTAACTCACTAGTACCAACAATATGTGAGCAGCGTGAATGGGTTTTAAGACTTGTAGCTTGAGAAATTTGGGGTGAATCACTTAAATAACATATGCCCATCATACACTGTTCGTTTCTAAAGTCAGCCCAGCAATGTCATTTAAAATTGTAAGGTAGCATTTGACTGCATCTAAACGAAAATCTAACCAAAGCAGGATGTAAAGCATGGGCTTATTTTTCTCACCAGACAGAGGAGGCCGACTGAAGGCATGTAAGGCAGGGTAGTGTGGTGGGAGGGGGTGAGATCGGGGCTGACATTGCCCACCCCTCACATCTCAGCTCAAGCAGCCTCTCCAGACCTCCCTGCCTGGCTCAGCTCCCTTATCAAACTCTCTGGACCTAATTAGGGCTCTTTGCACAATTCTCTACTTCTCTGTTGTCACAAAACATTCTTACTCTGGTTTTGCTCATTTTTGCATCCTCAGCATCCAGCATAATGCCCAGCATTGGGGCTGTGGCTCCGTATAGTCTTCATCAACACATGCAGGAAGCAGTGCATGCAGGAATAAATGATGAGTGAATGAATGAATGAATGAACTGTCAAGCTAAACGAAAACCACAATTCTCCCGCCCAGGAAGCAGTTTTCTCCAGGGATGGGGGTGGTATGGGGAGGTAGGGACAGGAAGTGATGTCACAAAAGGTGGCTGGGACAGAAGGTTCTAGAAGGGCTGGCAGGGAGGGAAACTGCCCACCTTCTTGCGTCTCATCACCACCACACCCTGGCTGGACCCAGAAGGTGACGAGGGCTGGGAAGATGCAGCACATGTAAGGTTTCCAGGGGGAGCGACTTGTTTGTCACTTTTGTGGAGGAAGAAAACACCCTGAGTGTCCAGATGGCTCAGCAACCAATGCCTTGCTGTGATGGCCAGACCCGCGCCTTGGAAAGAGTGGCAGGTGCCAGCGGTATGGGAGGGGGGCCCTTCGGCGTCCTTTGGGATTCAGCCACTGACTGTCACTCAGCAGTACGTTTCACTAGGATTTGGTCTCACCACAGTCACATGTTTTGGCCTTGAGCCAAGAATATTTACCCTCAGCATCTTAAAAAATATATATATATATTATTAGCCCAAACCGGTTTGGATCAGTGGATAGAGCATCTGCCTGCGGACTGAGAAGTCCCGGGTTCGATTTCAGTCAAGGGCATGTACCTTGTTTGCGGGCACGTCCCTAGTGCAAGAGGCAGCTGATCGATGTTTCTAACTATCTCTCTGTCTCCCTTCCTCTCTGTAAAAAAATCAATAAAATATATTTTAAAAAAATTATTATTAGTTTTTTGTTTTTTTTTAGAGAGAGGAAGGGAGAGAAACGAAGAGAGACAGGGAAGAGAAACAATGATTGGTTGTCTCCAGTACGCACTCCAGCTGGAGATTGAACCTGCAATCTAGGTATGTGCCCGCAACCTTTTTGGCGCACAGGATGTCACTCCAATCCACTGAGCCACTGGACAGGGCGTGATGAAGACCTAACAATGAGCACAGAATTAGTATTTGAACAAAGCTCCAGCCCATGTAGAAAGTGGGGAGCTATTTGCTAATAAATTATTTCCTTTGTATATTTTATCTTCAGTAATACCTGGAAACCCAATGAATTAGCTACAGAAGATTTGGTTCATTTTAAGACATATAGTATAGGTTTTCCACATACAGTCCCAGACAGTTCTATGGTTTGACAAATCCATAGAGGTGTATAACCACCGATTCAGTTGGATATAGTACATTTCCATCACTCCCCAATTCTCTCTTGTTTCCCCTTTGTAGTCAACGCCTCTTCCTGCCACAGCCCCTGGCAACCTCGGGCTGTCTCTGTCACTCTAGTTTTTCCTTTTCTAGAAAGTGACATAAATGAAGCCATGAAGCGTGTGAATCTGTCTTCTTCCACTCAGTTAATGCCTTGGAGACTCACTCAAATGGGTGTATCAATAGTTCATTCCCCTTTGTTGCTGAGGTCCGTTGTAGGGAGGTGGAAGGGAGTTGTTTTTCCTCAGGAGACTTCAAAATTTTTCTTACTCCCAAGTTCATATAGAGTTTTGACCCCTCTATTCCAACATCTAGGAGACTTCCGGAAACTCACAGATTGAATGTTCTCTGGACTTCACAAGTTCTCTCTGATCTGACATACGTGCCACTCTCCTTTCCTCCTAGGCTCAGGGCAGTCATGACCAATGACCCCCGATTCCAGGCCGACAGGGCCGGTGGGTGGGAGTTGGGCTGGGCCCTGCAGCGCCTCTGCTAGTCCTACTAAGTTCCGGCTCTGTGCCTTGCAGCTCTGTGAAGAATGGTCTCTGCGGACCTGGAAGTGCTGAAGCCCCAACAGCTTAAGAAGAGAAGGCTGAGGACCTTGAAGTAGACATGACGAAAACAAAAGGCAAGTGTGAGAGAGCGAAAGGGGCACTGCCCTGGCCAGGCTTTTCCTAAAGAGCCTGGTCGGGGAGAGTTAGGATACGAACATTCTGTCTGAGCCCAGACCCAGGGGTGGGGTGGGGGTAGGAATGGGTTTCTCTGCCACTAATGGGGCGACAGGCTTGTGATTTCAAAGCCTTGTTTTGTTTGTATCATAGTCCGTGGGTCCGTGGGAGGAAGCATATATATGTATTTGTGTGTGTGTGTGTGTGTGTGTGTGTGTGTGTGTGTGTATGGCACAGATGTAATTATATCTATAATAATAAAAGTGTAATATGCTAATTAGACCTGACAGTCAAATGACCTTCTGGACATCATTCCAGACGTCCTTCCGTATGAAGCCGCAGTGGCGGGGGTCAAGGCAGAGGCAGTTAGGGGCATGAGGCAGATAGATAGAGTGATTAGGGGTGGTCAGGCAGGCAGGTGAGCAGTTAGGGGCAATCAGGCAGACAGGCAGAGAGGTTAGGGGTGATCAGGAGGGCAGACAGGTGAGCAGTTAGGAGCCAGTGGTCCAGGATTGTGAGAGGTATCCCAGATTGCGAGAGGGTGCAGGCTGGGCTGAGGAATGCCCCCCATGCACGAATTTTATGCACCAGGCCTCTAGTCCGATATAATAAAAGCCTAGTATGCTAAGTGTCCAGTCATCCAATCAGCTGTTCAACCAATCAAAGCTTAACATGCTAATGATAAACTAAGGCCACTCAACCAACTCACTATAACATGTACTGACCACCAGGGGACATATGCTCCTTTAGGTAGGTTAGCTTGCTGCTGGGGTCCAGCTAATCGAGACTGAGCGAAACAGGCCAGACACACTCTGAAGCCCTCTCACGGTCCCTCTCCAGCTGGCCAACCTCTCATATCCCTCCCTGGCCCTGATCATGCACCAGTGGGGTTCCTTGGCCTAGCTTGCCCCCTCTCACAATATGTGACCCCAAAGAGCCAGTTTCAGCCTAATCCTACAGGCCAGGCCAAGGGACCCCATTGGTGCATGAATTTGTCCACTGGACCTCTAGTATAATAATAAAAGCATAATATGCTAATTAGATCAGATGGCTGAACAGTGAAACAAGCCACAGGATGACTGTCCGGACGACCTTCCGGACGACCTCCCAGATGAAGCCGGGGCTGCAAGGGCCGAGACAGTTGCTGTGGCTGTGAGGGTTGAGCCCCTTCCATGAATTTCATGCATCAGGCCTCCCTCTAGTTATTCAATATAATGCAGATGTAATAATATATATGGTGCACACACATACAGTGCAGATGTAATGTATATAGGTGCAAATGTAATATATAGTATATAGTGTTATATTGCAGGTGTAATATTATATAGTACAGATGTAATACAAAAATGGCAAAAGTAGGTTTACAGTTGTTCATATGCTTATGGTTATTATAAAAGCTTTATTCAAAAGAATGTCACAGTGGAACAGTGCACTTCGATACAATCTCAAATGTTCAAATTGCTAGCCTTCATTGTCTACACATTCTTGCAATCTACTTGCTTAACTCAAGCACACTTTGGCACAGAGTTCTTTATTGCCATCAATAAACCTACTTTTGCCCACTGCTGTATATGTAGTGAAGATGTAATGTTATATATATAATGCACACACATATATAGTTCAGATGCAGTGATATATATCACTGGCAGATGTAATATATAGAGCATATGTAATAATAGAGTACAGATGCAGTAATATATAGTGCAAATGGAATATATGTAATACAGAAGTGATACATGTAGTGTGGATATAATATTATATATATATATATATATATATATATATATATATATATATATCCTATATAATAAAGATGTAATATGCAAGTGGTTGTTACGCCATGAGGTGTAACGACCCACTGCGTAATGACTGACTGTAATGACCGGATCACAGATGAGCAGGAGGGGGTGGCAGCGAGCTATAAGCGGGCGGCGGAGAGCTAGAGGGGGCAGAGCAGTAAGCTAAGATGGGAGGCAGCGGGAGGGGGTGGGGAGAGCTACAGGAGGGCAGGGCAGTGGGCAGAGAGCTATTGAAGAGTGGCAGCTTATGGTATTTTGTTATAGCAGCCCGCATGGACTAAGACAGCCCCCCAAATTCAGCTACCCAGCACTCCAGAATGTGATGTAATTTGTAAATAGGGTCATTGCAGGCGGGATGGGTCTTAATCCAACATGACTGGTGTCCTTATAAAACGGGAATCTGGACACAGGCTCACACACAGGGAGAACACCATGTGAAGATAAAGGCAGAAACCGGGTGATGCTTCCATAAGCCAAGGAGCTCCAAAGTTTGCCAGCAGGTCACCAGAGGGTAGGCCTCGGGAGGAACCGACTGGCCAATGCCTTGAGCTGGGACTTCTTGTCTCTAGAACTGGCAGAGAATACATGTCTGTGGTTTCAGCCACCCAGTCTAGAGCACAGACACATCTTGTTTTATGCTGCTTTTTTTTTTTTTAATATAAATCAAAGGTTTGCTTTGAGCAAACTTATCAGCACCCTTTTCCAAACAGACTTGGATGAGGGTTAGCATTTTTTTGGGGGGTGGGGGGGAGAGAAATAAAGTATTTTTAATGTTTTTAAAATCTTCACTGGAGGATATTTTTTCCCATTGAATTTAAAAATATATATATTTTATTGATTTTTTACAGAGAGGAAGGGAGAGAGATAGAGAGCTAAAAACATCGATGAGAGAGAAACATCGACCAACCACCTCTTGCACACCCCCCACAAGGGATGCGCCTGCAACCAATGTACATGCCCTTGACCAGAATCATACCTAGGACCCTTCAGTCTGCAGACCGATGCTCTACCACTGAGCCAAACCGTTTTCGGCACCCACTGAATTTTAGAGTGAGTGAAGAGGATGGGGGAGGGAAAGAAAGAGAAACATCAATGTGAGGAGACACCTCTATTGGTTGTCTCCCGAGTGTGCCCCAACTGGTCCGGGAATTGAACCTACAACCGAGCTACATACCCTTGATCGGGAATTGAACCTGCGACTCTTTGGTCCAAGGGCTGACACACTAACCAATGAGCCAGACTGGCCAGGGCAGGAATAAAGTATTTTTAAATTAAGGTATGTGTATTGCTTTTTTAGAAACCAAGCCACCTGGTCCTGGACTGTGGACCATTCGTCCAGATGGAGAAGTTGCTTTGAGGCTATCAAAACATGGGCCAGGCCATGAGCCCCCCTTAACCATCCCAGAATATTTTCGGGAGTCAGTCAACCGATTTGGGACTTATCCAGCCGTTGCATCAAAGAACAGTGGGAAATGGGAAATACTGAATTACAACCAGTACTTCGAGGCTTGTCGGAAGGCTGCGAAAGCCATGCTCAAGGTGAATGAGTCCCTCCCTCTCTTCCTCCCTCCTTCCTTCTTTCCCTCCCTTCTATATAACTTATTCAATCATTCACTGAGAATAGGAAATACATATACATACATATGATACAAAATGCACAAGGCACCACAAGATAGGAATGGTAACTGGTGAAAATTTCCCCTCCAATTCTTTTACCTTTAAATATATTTTTATCTATTTCAGAGATGAAGGGAGAGAGAGAGAAACAACAACGATGAGAGAAAATCATTGATCGGCTGCCTCCTGCATGCCACATCCTGGAGGGCCCACAACTGGGGCATGTGCCCAACCAGGAATCAAACTGTGACTTCCTGGTTCATAGTCCACACTCAGCCACTGAGCCACACCGGCCAGGCCTTCCCATTCTTGACCCCTTCTGTATGCAGGCAACCACCATTGCCAGCTTTTCGTACATCCTTCTGGGGAATGAATTATGTGTATATGTGATACAACTTACCTATATGCAAATGTTTACGCACAGGGTGGCATTCTATACCCACGATTCTGCACCTTGTTTTTCCCTCTTGGCATGGGATCTCTATGTGAGCTACTACTGCATGACAAATCACCCCTACGCTCAGGAACTTAACATGACAAACATTTACCACGAATCCGGGAGAGGTTTCGTGGGCCCGAGGATATTTTAGGAGTATTTTCACAATATGGCAGCCAGCTCCCCCCAGGACGAATGATTCAGAGAGAGTGAGAACAACATGGAAAACCTGGTACCTCTTACAATCGAATCCCAGCAATGACATACTATCACTTCTTCCATAGTCTCGTGGTGACACAGACCAACCTTGATGCAATGAGGGAGGAGATTATGCAAGTACACAAATACCGGGAAATGAGGATCCTTTTGAGGGCCATCTCAAAGACTGGCTCCCGTATTCTGAAATCCTTCCATGTTGGTTAATGTTTTAAAACTCACATTCTTTTCAGCAACTGCAATTATGTCTGTAACGGTATTGACTGAACCATCCCCCTGCTGGTGGGCGTTTGTTGCCAGCCTTTTGCTACCATACATGGTGCCACAGTGAACTTCTTTCACACAGTGAATTCTCGTACAGAGGTGCCTCTGTGTGCCCACGCAAATGTATGAAAAAGTCTGCTTGTCTATATTCTTGCCAACATCATATTATCAAAAATGTCCATCTTGGCCAGCTTACTAGGCATGTGAGACAGAACTCTTAAGATGCCCTGAGATCCCAGCCTCTGGTATAGCCATGCCCTTAGTCTCATATTCTTGAGCGTGGGCAGGACTTGTGACAGTGAAGGATTCTCCCTCCTGTGATGGCAAAGGTGAAGATATTTTAGCAGATGTCATTAAGGTCTCTAATCAGTTGACTTTGAGTTCATCCAAAGGACAAATGCTCAGGGTGGGCCTGACCTAACCAGGTGAAGCAGGAAAGGAGAGGCTCTCCTGCTGGCCCCGAGGAAGCAAACTGCCTTGTAGTGCACAGGGGCCATGGGGCTGTGGATGGCAGACAGCCTCTAGGAGGTGAGATCCATCCCCAACTGAGTTAGCAGGGAAACAGGGCCTCATGCATTCAACCACAGGAAATAAATTCTGCAATCTATGAGTGCAGGAGAAGATTTCATGCTTCAGAGGAGGCCACAGTCCCCACGGAGGCCTTCATTGCAGCATTGGGGGACCCTAAGTAGAGGACCCAGTTAGACTTCCACTAGCCTCCTGACCTGGGTGAACTGAGATAATAAATGTGTGCTGTATTTGTGGTAATGTGTTATGCAGCAGTAGACAATCCTATATAATAAAAGCCTAATATGCAAAATGACCGAATGGTGGAACGACAGGTCCCTGTGATGTTCACTGACCACCAGGGGGCAGACACTTAATGCTGGGGCTGCCCCCTGGTGGTCAGTGCGCTCCCACAGTGGGAGTATCACTCAGCTGACCCATGGGTGCCTGATGCAGGGCTCACAAGCCTGTCCTGCAGACACTGCCTCTGTGTGCCCCTCCCCGATCTGGACCGGGACCTGGATTGGGACCGGCATCAGGACTGCCGGGCATGAGCCCGTGGCCGCTTCTCGGTGATGGGCACGCTGGTATCACCCTAGGACGGGCGCGTGGAGACTGCAGCAGAGCGGCAATGAGCCCACTGAGCGGCGGCAGGCACAGCGGGACTGGGATGAGCGGGAGTTGCCCACCACCCAGCCTGGGCTCAGGCTCCTCCCCAGCCACCTGCTGTGGCCCAATCCCCGCAGGCCAACCTGCGGGACCCCCTCTGGTGCACGAATCTGTGCACCGGGCCTCTAGTGAATATATAAAAACAAGCAAACAGAAAGGGAGACAATGAATACTTTAGGTATCCCTCCTTGGAGAAGGGTATCTGCTAGTGGTTTTGATATATAGGAAATTGGGTCCCCTTTCAACCTAGATCCCAGTTCTTCTCTCCCTGATGCTCACGTGTCTTCATTGAGAGACTGTGATTTGTCACAATTAAGAGCCGTGTGCTCGGGCCGGCTTTTGTCGTGGCTGCCCCGCCCGGCGCCACAGTGCTGTGGTAAGTTTCCCTCCGGAAAGTCGGTCCTTGTTAGCTATGCTCTTAGTGGTGGTGGAGCTCAAGGACCCGCTACTCTCCTCCCCTCGGGGACCCAATCGGAAATATGCCAGTTTGTGTGCGCATGAGCAGAGGCGTGTCCACACGAGGACAGCCTGTGTCACCGAGCAGAAACACCGGGCCTCGTGACCTGAGCCCCAGCGGAGGCTTCCCACAAGCCCGTTTCCCGAAGAGCAGGGTAACGGCCGGCCTTGCCTCGTGGGACTGAAAGGGACAACAAAGTTAGAGTTGCCAACTTTGGGATAACTTAAGGGATAACTTCAAGTCCAGGTTTCCAGCTCGTCCTCAACCACACCCAGACCAAGGCCACATCTTTAAAAGTGCAATTTGTCACCACTCTAGGATATCACTCTTCGGGTACTTTTGTGGTTAAAAATTGAAAATAAATTCACACCCGTTAAGAGTGTCTATTATTTTTTTTTTTAAAAAAAAGAACAGAAAATAGCAGGTGGTGTGAGGACGTGGAGAAATTGGAACTTTCATGCATTGCTGGTGGGAATGCAGAATGGAGCAGTCAATGTGGAAAATAGTATGGCAACTCATAACAAAATTAAACACTGAAATGCCACATGACCCAGCAATTCCACTTCTGATATACTTCTGGGTACGTAGTACTCAAAAGAATTCAAAGCAAAGGCTCAAACACATACGTGCACACTCAGGCAGCAGCATCATTCACAATGGCCAAAGGGGGAAGCAACCCAAGTGTCTGCCAACAGAGGATGGTTAACACAGTGTGGCCCATTACCCAATGGACTATTATTCAGCCTTAAAAGGGAAGGAAATTCTCTATATAACCCATATCTATATAGATATATATCTATTTCAGAGAGGAAGGGAGAGGGGAAGATAGAAGCATACATGACGAGAGGGAATCATTGATTGGCTGCCTTCAGCACGCCCCCTACTGGGGATCGAGCCTACATCCCTGGCATGTGCCCTGGACTGGAATCGAACCTGGGCTCTTCAGTCCACAGGCCATCGCTCTAGCCATTGAACCAAACCGGCAAGGACAGGAAGGAAATTCTGACACCTGCTACAACATGGATGAACCTGAGGACATTATGCTCAGTGAAATAAGCCAGTCACAGAAGGACAAATATTGTGTGATTCCACTTATAGGAGGGCCCTAGAGGAGTCAAGTTCATAGAGACAGGAAGTCGAGGGGAGGGGCCAGGGACTGGAGGAAGGGCATGGGGTGTTAGTATGTAATGGGAAGATGAAAAAATTCTGGAGAAGGATGGTGGAGGTGGTCATATAATATGAGTGTCTTTAATGCTTCTGAGCTGTATGCTAAAAATTGGCTAAAATGGTATATTCGTGCTGTAAATAGTTTACCACAATAAACATAAAACACATAAACATAAACCAATGGGGTTTCCCAACAGCCAAAAAAGCCTCACACCCAGATTTCAGCCTCCACGCTGGCTTATCCCCGCGCAATGACACCTCCCACCAGAAGCAAAACCACTCTATGTTTCCATTTCCTGTCTGTTTGTGTTTTCCTCCCCAGCTGGGCTTGGAGCGGTTCCATGGAGTCGGCATCCTGGGGTTTAACTCCACTGAGTGGGTGGTTACTTCTCTCGGGACCATCCTCGCAGGGTAAGACCATGCGCGGTTCGTTGTTAATGTGGATGAGCCGCTGCTCGGGGCCGGCCCCAGATGTGAGCGGGTGTTCAGCCTCAGCCCCAGGAGGGCAGGCGAGACAGACACACAGACCGATTAACCTGGCACATGATGGGCATCTCCAATAGAGAAGGTTCTTATAGAACTCAGTAGTAAAAAGAAAAATAGATTTTAAGTGAACAAAATGTTACAAAGCCAAGTAGGGGATAAGCAATTCAAAGGTGCTTGATGCTATCAGCCATCAGGGAAATGCAAATGAGACCCAGGACAGGATGGTTAAAAGCAAGAACATCCTGGCCAGTGTTGCTCAGTGGTCAGAGCATGGACTCATGCACCAGTCAAGGTCAGGTACCTGGGCTGTAGATCTGATCCCCAGGCAGTTCAGGGTGCTTGTGGGAGGCAACTGATCAAGGTGTCTGTCTCTCACATCTCTCTCTCTCATCTGTTTCTCTCCCTGGCCCTCCCTCCCTCCCATTATCTCTGAAAAGCAATGGGAAAAATATCCTCTGGTGAGAATTTAAAAAAAAAAAAAGCAAGACCAAAAGGCTGCCCATGGAGGGAGCAGGTGCCTGAGGGTGGGGGGCAGTCCAGATCCCATCTCTGGCATTTATTATGCGCCATGACACTTTGAACAGTGACGTCACTGCCCTGACTGTGTTTGCTCAACTGTAAAATGGGCTGTTGTGGGGGTTCCATGAGCGTACATTGCAGTGACATCACAGGAGTTGCTGCTTATGTCATCGTTATCTCCTGTTGTTTTTGTTAAGCTGTGGAGGGAGGGAAGCTTGTGCCAAGGCTGCAAACCCAGAACTTGCCTGCAAGCCCTTCCCTTAGCCCCCCACCACCCAGAACACCCCCCCCCCCACACACACACCCCAGGCTCACACGCACATGACAGGCATGTGTGATTTCTTTTCCCAGGGGGCTCTGTGTTGGTATTTATGCCACCAACTCTGCAGAGGCTTGTCAGTACGTCATTACTCAAGCCAGAGTGAACATCCTGGTGGTTGAAAATGACTTGCAGCTACAGAAGATTCTTTCGGTAAACCTCTACCCAGCCCTGCCTGCCAGTCATCCGAGGTGGCGGGGGGTGGGGGGGGGCCTCAGAGGTCTGACCATCTTTGTGCTCCCAGGTAGATGCTAATGATCAGGTGGGGTAGTAAGGTTTGCTGCACACACAGGTTCAGTATTAGTCCTCCACCACTTTTTAAAAAATATATGTTTTTATTGTTTTCAGGGAGGAAGGGAGAGGCAGAGAGAGAAACACCCATGAAGAGAGAGAATCACGGAGTGGCTGCCTCCTCCACATCCCCTACCGGGATCGAGCCCACAACCTGGGCATATGCCCTGACTGGGAATCTAACTGTGACCTCCTGGTTCATAGGTCGGTGCTCAACTGCTGAGCCACACGGGCCGGACAGTCCTCCACCACTTTAGCAAACTGGCAAAGCTGCTCTGGCGGGGGCGGGGGGGGGGAGGGGGAGAATCAGGGTGAGGATCAGAGAGTGTTAATTTCCAATTCACAGTAATTTAATTTCCTACTCAGCCTCCGTTTAAAACAACGCGTGTACGCATAATTTTATGTGCAGTCCACTGCTATGCGTCTCTTACAAGTGTGATTATGCTGAGCCTTGTCATGCTCATTCCTTATAACCGCCTGCAGTTCTGCAATGCTTTTGTCTTTCTCTTCTGTTTCTTCCCTGAGTTCGACCGCCTCCTGCTTCTCTTCTCTCTGGCCCTCTCCTCCCTTGTATGTTTGCTCTGCGCTCCTCCTTCCCAGCTGCCCTTGCTTCCGTACGTTTTAAGTTTTATACAGGAACGCTGGGTAGTTTCCCTTTGCCTTGTGGCGACTTTGTGAAATTTGGCTCCTCTTTTAGTTTCTCTTTTCTCCTTGCCGTGTCTTTGTATGAGGAGAGACACGTACAGTCGAAACTATTCCTATTCCTTGTGTTGGAACGGAACCAGCTTCCGGCAGGAAGGCCCTAAGGGGAGGGAGTTTGGGGGAAGGGTGTGCCCATGTGACCAGATTAATGGCTCAGCACAGGGGCCACTGGGCTGTTTCTTCATATCTCATTACTTGTGAGTTGCACATGTTCCCACTTTAAAAAAATATATATGTTTTAATTGATTTTTTATAGAGAGGGCGGGAAAGGGATTAGAGAGTTAAAAACATCGATGAGAGAAAAACATGAATCAGCTGCCTCCTGCACTCTCTGTACTGGGGATGTGCCTGCAACCAAGGCACATGCCCTTGACCGGAATTGAACCTGGGACCCTTCAGTCCATTGGTCGATGCTCTATCCACTGAGCTAAACCGGTCAGGGCACATTTCCCCACTTTTTAACATGTGTGGAGCTGAGATGTGTCTTGCCATCGATGGCATCCTCTTGGGTCATCATTGGCCATGTGTTTAGTGTTCCCACATTTTAGTATCTCTGAAACCAGAGCACATTTCCTGACTCCGGAAATCCTGGCCGGACTCAGTGAACCAGAACACGTGCCAGCAGGCCTCCTTGGAGCCGAATGCCTGATCTGGTTCAGGAAGGACAGACCTCTGCCTCCAGCCTTGAGCTTTTTTTCTGCTTTTTAAAAAATATATATTTTTAAATTTATTTCAGAGAGGAAGGGAGAGGTAGAGAGGATTAGAAACATCCATGATGAGAGAGAATCATCGATTGGCTGCCTCCTGCACGCCCCCTACTGGGGGTCGAGTCCCCAACCTAGGCATGTGCCCTTGACTGGAACTGAACCTGGGACCCTTCAGCCCACAGGCTGATGCTCAATCTACTGAGCCAAACCAGCTGGGGCCAGCCTTGAGCTTTGTTGAAACTGCTTTCTCGCATGACATTTCTGTGGTCCCTGGTCCTCATGTCATGCCCTGCTTACTAATAACAGAATGGACTGGGGGCTGGGTCAGGGATCAAGGGTGATGGGTGGGGTGCTTCCCATTCTTGACATGAGTATCGGTTGCTTACAATTTGGGTTTTCCCCGTTAGAAAATGTCACATTCCCCGTCTTCCCCCCGAACCCAGTTTCATCGCTATGGCTTCCTCTCCTACTTCTGGTCTATTTGACCTCACACACATCTGCCACACTTGAGCTACCTCTAGCTCACAGTTTGATGAACAGGCTGCTGGTGGGGTTGTGGTTCTGGTTGCTCTTCATGAAAGACTCCAAGCCAGCTCCTGACACGCTTCCCCCCAAACTGCCAGCCTATCCTGCTGCCCTAATCTAATCCCGGGCAGTACCCGCGGCTTATCATCCTCCTTTGGAGAAACCCCAAACTCCTCGCTGTTGCCTCCCAGGGGGCCTCCCTGGCCCTCACCACCCTCTCCTGCCTCCTCCCATATCCTCCTCCCTCCGGTCCTCAGCCCAGCCTTCCCCCCAACTCTTTCTTCCCCAAACATCACAGACTGCTGCCTGGCTGTTGGCTCCCCATCTTTCTGGAAGTCTCGTCTGGCTGGTCCGAGCACTTCCGTCACCTTTTCTCTCCAATCCACACGGGTGCCGTGGCTCTCGTTCTAATGAGCATAAGGAATGCTGAAAGTGATTGCTCTGAGCAGGGTTCAGGCACCTCCCAGGCCTGGTCCGCTGAGCCTTCCAGCGCTGGGAGAGCTAGAGAGTTCTGAGCCTGGCCAGGGCCCAGCTCCCCCTACGGAGGACGGAGGATGTCTGTGGCCTGATTCACTAGGAATTTCACTGAATCCTGGCTGCGAGGTGCCAGCTGCCAGCGGACAGAGCACAGCGTGCGGCCTGAGGCAGCCCCGGGGAGGCTGCTGTCTCAATGCACCTTGGATGGTTGGAAGCTACTGACACTAGCCACAAAGAACCCACACACAGGCCGAAGCCGGTTTGGCTCAGTGGTAGAGCGTCGGTCTGCGGACTGAGGGGTCCCAGGTTCGATTCCGGTCAGGGGCATGTACATTGGCTGCGGGCACATCCCCGGTCGGGGGTGTGCAGGAGGCGGCTGGTCGATGTTTCTCTCTCATCAACGTTTCTCTCTCTCCCTCTCCCTTCCTCTCTGTAAAAAATCAATAACATATATATATATATGAACTCACACACAACCAGCCCTAAGATCAGTCAAGACAAGAAGCGCTGTTTCACAGAAAACAAACGAAGGCACTCAACAGAGGCCAGGGTTGCAGTAGGAGGGCGCTTAGGACACCCATCCGGCTTCTGTCTTTCCCAGGGCTGGGTGGCCGTGAGCCCCAAGCTGAACTCTCTTTCAGATTCCACAGAACAAGCTGGGGACCCTAAAGGCGATCATTCAGTACAAGATGCCCATGAAGGAGAACAACAAAAGCAACCTGTACTCTGTGAGTGTGGGAGGGCACAGAGCACAGCGGGGAGGGGGCCTCACCGAGGAAGTGTGTGGGGACGCTCAGAGGAAGTGGGTAGTGAGCAGGGGCGAGGACCAGGCTCCAGAGGGAAATGGGCAGGCCCTTGAGGGGCTTTTTATATTATTTTTAAGTATACTTTTATTGATTTCAGAGTGGAAGGGAGAGGGAGAGAGAAACATCAATGATGAGAGAGAATCACTGATCAGCTGCCTCCTGCACACCCCTCGACCTGGCCATGTGCCCCAACTGGAATAGAACCGTGACCTCCTGGTTCATAGGTCAATGCTCAACCACTGAGCCATGCTGGCCTTTTTAAACTTAATTTTATTTCATTTTTGGCGTGAAGGTCACACAAAGCAAAAAGATAAGTTGGTGACTCATGAAATTAAAACTCAGGGTGTGGATTTCAGGCATGGCTGGAACCAGGGGCTTGAATGTGGCCCAAGCTCCATTTCACCCTCTTGGTTTCTTTACTCCATAGTCCTAAGATGGTCCAGCAGCTCCCAAGGCTACATTCTGACTCTTTCTTGTCCAGAGAGCACTTCCAGCAAAAGCCCTGACTTTCACTGTGGTTGGACCATTTGAGGTCTCGTGCCCAGACCTGATCCAATCACTGTGGCCCAATAGATGGAACCTTCTGCCTTAAACCAATCAGGGTTGACCTCTGGAATCGGGGGTGGCGTTGGTCCCATCGAGCTGGTCACTGAGAAATTTTGGGTGCAGAGTGGGATCTAGGAAGGCAGAGCTCAAATGATATTGCCCTCCATTGCCGAGCATCTGGCATATTAATTCATTTACATGCCCAGAACAAGCCAAGAAGTTGGGTTCTGGTATCATTCCCACCTTAAAATGAGGAAACTGAGGCACAGGGAGCTTAAGGGGCCTGCCCAGGAGTGCAGAAACTGGAAGCAAACAACTGCTCATTGTAGGGCTCAGAGCGGCACCCCAAGTCTCCACCCAGGAGCGCCCTCCACTGAAGCAACAGCTTTTGTAAGAGGAACCAGGACTGACGCTTCTCCCTAAACCTTTCCTCCGACCAAAAGTCACGGTTTAGGCGAAGCTGGCGGGACAGGGTCCAACTGGGGACAGGAAACACCTGCCAGAGGCCCACCCTCTGTCTGTCTCCTCTGCCCACAGTGGGACGATTTCATGGAACTTGGCAACACCATCTCTGACTCCCAGCTGGACCAGATCATCGCGAGCCAGAAGGCCAACCAGTGCGCCATGCTCATCTACACATCCGGGACCATGGGCAACCCCAAAGGAGTAATGCTCAGCCATGACAACGTAAGTGCCGGCCGCAGGGCCAGGGGCGGAGGCCTTCGGGATGCTTTGTTCTTGACCCCCTGGGGCTGCGCTGAGGGGTCTGACCCACAGCCCTTCGCCTGTGGTGTGTAGAGAGGCACGTGGACACTTAGGAGGGGGCGGCAACGGGCAGGGCTGCAGATCGTGGACTCTGAATGGCATCTGATTAAACTCCCACGTGGCCTTGGCTCCTTGTGGCTTTGCATGTGGCTGGTGAGACGTTATCCTAGCATCGGGCTGACAAGTCTCCACCCGGGAGCCAAGCTTCCGGGGGTGGAATCCTGGCTCTCCCACGTGCTAGCTGTGTGACCGGGGGCAAGTTCCTTAACTTTAGTTTCCCCATCTGTAAAGCACAGATAAGAATGGGTTCCACTCGTAGAGTTGCCATGGAGATTAAACGGCCCCATATCCTCTGCCAGTTGGCTATTAGCCATTCTAGAACTCAGCGACCTAAAAGCGTGTTACCTCTGGGTATGGAATTTGTCCAGGACCCACAGACTGTTTCTCCAGCCCCGTGTAGGGTCAGCTGGGGTCGTTCAGCTGTACGCAGAAAAGTAGAAACATCCAAGAAGGAATTCACTCACATGTCTCTTGTGGCTTGGGCACCCTCGCGGCATGGTGGCTCAAGGTGGTTGAGCTGCTTACCATGGCGACGGGCTCTCCTCGGAGCAAATGTTCCCTGGCACCACGGCAGAAGCCGGGGGCTGTGGAGGCTCAACACCGGGAGTCACCGCGTCGTTCTGCTCCACTCTGTTGGCCAACCAGTCTGTGGACCGGTCCTGTGGAAGGCGAGGAAAACAGGCTTCAGCTTTGAAGGGGAGGGTGGCAGGGAGTCTGCCCCTGCCTTTAACCGACCACGTAGATGCGATGGTTAGAACAATGCCCGGCCCACGGGGATTGTAAAGACCAGCATCACCCTCTGTAGGAAGAAGGAACATTCAAAGCTTCTCCCACTGACAGGGCACTAACTTAGGTACCACCCTGAGATAAACACATGTTAATTTCTCACAAAAAACCCACGAGGTAAAGCTGTGTCCTTAAAGCCTCTCACAGATGGGGAAACTGAGGCTCAGGGAGGGGAAATGACTTGCTCAAGGTCGTAGAGCAAAGCTCTGAGCCGGGATTGAACCCAGGAGTGTCAACACTATTGTACATCACCATCTACACAACCCGAGCCCCTTTCCTCAATAAATGGGTGTGGGGTGCCTGGGGGCACAGGCGGTGAGTGACAGTGCTTACAGGACAGAAGTAAAATCCCTCTACCCTAAGGCCCAGAGAGGGAAGTGGGACTAATTTTGAGGGCCTACTATGGGCCAAGTGCTTTGCATACATTACTACGCTTAATCCCTTCTATCTCCTCAATCATTGATTGATTGATTGATTGATTCATTCATTCATTCAACAAAAATGTATTGAGCACGTACTGTGTGATGGGGATACAGCGTTGAACAAAACAGATCCAACTGTGGCCCTTGGGAGGACAGGGAGTAAATGAACAAATAAAGCCATTTGTTCTCCAAAGATGACAGGCAGATGGCCAACAGACCTATGAAAAGATGCTCATCATCACTAACAGTCAGGGAAATGCAAATCAAACCACCATGCAAATCAAACCACCCCTGTCAGAATGGCTAGCATAAAAAAACCAGCAGACTAGTGTTGGCAAGAATGTGAAGAAAAGGGAACCCTTGTGATCTTTGTGGGGTTGTAAAGAGGTGCAGTCACTATGGAATTTGGTATAGATGTTCCTCAAAAAATTAAAAATAGAACTGCCAGCCCTGGCCAGGCGGTTCAGTAGGTTGGAGCATTGCCCCACACACCAAAAAAAGGTTGTGGGTTCGATTCCCAGTCAGGGCATGTACCTAGGTTGCAGGTTTGACCCCTGTTGGTGCTTGTCCGGGAGGCAGTTGATCGATGTCTCTCTCTCACATGGATATTTCTCTCTCTTCCCCTTCCTCTCTCTCTAAAAAATCAGTAAACCCATCCTTGACTGAGGATTAAAAAAAAAAAAAAAAAATAGAACTACAGTCTGACCCAGCAATCCCACTTCTGGGTATTTATTCAAATAATCCAAAACACTAATTTAAAAAGACAGATGCACCCCTATGTTCTTGCAGCATTATTTACAAAAGCTAGGATATGAAAGCAGCCTCAGAGCCCATTAGGAGAAAATTGGATCAGAGAGATGTGGTATACTTATTTATTTATGTAATAGAATATTACTCGGCCATAAAAAAAGAATGAAATCTTACCATTTGTGAAAACATACACGAACTTAGAGGGTATCATGCTTAGTGAAATCAGACAAAGACAAATATGATATAATTTCACTTTTATGTGGAATCTAAAAAACAAAATAAGTGAACAAACAACATAGAAAGAAGCCCATAGATACAGAGAACAAGCTGATGGTTGCCAAAGGAGAGGGGTGGGGGGGAGAGTGGGTGGGAATGGCAATGAAGAAAAAAAAAATGTAAATAAAATAAAACCATTTAGTTATGGCGAATCGTGCCTAGAGAATGAGACATTGAAAATGTTTGGGTGGTGAAAGACAGCCTTTCTTCGCCGACAACATTTAATGGGAAACTGGACGGGTGAGAAGGAGTCAGGCCTGGGGAAAGCTGGAGGAACAGCAGTCCAGGCAGAGGGAACTGCCAGTGCAAAGGCCCTGACGCTGGACTCTGCCTGATGAGTTGGAGGAACAGAGCAGAGGCCCATGTGGCAGGATTAACGAAGTAAACTGTTCACCGGAGTTTTATGACACCAGTGAGGAATATAGGTTGCAAAATTATAGGCACACTAAAACTTTACATCAAGGTATCCCGTTGGAGAAAGAAAAACATGAATATGCTCATGGTTAGGTGGTTATGGGAGGGGATTAAGAGAGGCCTCTTTCGCCAAGACAGGTTTGGCTCAATGGATAGAGCGTCGGCTTGGGGATGGAAGGGTCCCGGGTTCGATTCCGGTCAAGGGCATGTACCTTAGTTGCGGGCACATCCCCAGTAGGGGGTGTGCAAGAGGCAGCTGATTGATGACTCTCTCTCATCGATGTTTCTAACTCTCTATCTCTCTCCCTTCCTCTCTGTAAAAAATCGATAAAATATATTAAAAAAAAAAAAAAGAGTGGCCTCTTTGTTGGACAATGTTGGTTCCAGAATTTTGTACTGGACAGGAGACACATCTGTTCCCATTTTACAAATGAGGAAATGGAGGCTGTAAGGGTTTTTAAGCAAATAGTCCAGGCTCACACCGCTAGCACACGGTGGCGTCAGAATGTGATTCAGGAACACTTACTGAATCCTTCAGATTTCTGACTTTCCCGGTAAAACTTCTGACTCTAGGATCTGTTATTGGACCCAAAGGTGTCTATGTAACCCTCCAAAGCTGCTGCTGAATTTTATAGCTCCTTCCAGCCTCCGTCAAGTTAGTTAACTCTCCGTGAATCCGTTTGCCATCAGTAAAACAGGGAGATTCCTAGTTACCAACCACAGCATGTTATGATGAGTATTAAACAAGTTAATGCTTGTAAAGGATGAGAATAGCACCCACCACCCAGTAGGTGCTTTGCATATATTTGTTAAAGAACTGCATTTAGCCCGGTCAGCATGGCTCAGGGGTTGAGCATTGACCTATGAACTAGGAGGTCAAGGTTTGATTCCCAGTCAGGGCCCATGCCCGGGTTGTGGGCTCGATCGCCAGTAGGGAGTGTGCAACAGGCAGCCTATCAATGTTTCTCTCTCATCATTGATGTTTCAGATTGGAATACAGATTGTAAAACTTTATATGAAGGTATGCATTGGAAAAAGAAAAACATGAATATGCTAATGGTTAGGTGGTTATGGGAGGGGATTATGGGCGGCCTCTTTGTTGAACAATGTTTGTTCCAGAATTTTATACTGGACAGGAGACACCTCTGTTCTCTTCCTCTCCAAAATCAACTTTACTTATTTTTTTTGTTTATAAAAGAACTGCATTTAAGAGGCCCCTCAGCCAGGATAAGGTGCCCTGGATTGTAAGCCCCACTTGTGTTCCAGATCACGTGGCTGGCCGGGTCGGTGGCAAAGGACATAAAGTTGACTTGCGCGTCGGAAAAGCAGGAGTTGGTCGTTAGCTACCTTCCCCTCAGCCACATTGCAGCTCTGATGATGGATATCTGGTTGCCCATGAAGGTCGGGGGTTGCACCCACTTCGCTCAGCCAGACGCTCTCAAGGTAAGGCGGAGGGCAGCGGGAACGGGAACGCGTGGATGGTTCCATTAAGCCCCAGTTCGAGGGGATCCTTCTCTGTGCTCATTTTACACTTCATTTAGCAGCATCAGAAACAGTTGGTCATATTGTTGTTTTATCTTAACCCAAATCAGGGCACCCGTGTGTGTGTGTGTGTGTGTGTGTGTGTGTGTGTGTGTGTGTGTGCGCGCGCGCGCGCGCGCGCGCGTGCGCACATGTGTGTATGTGTGCGTCAGTATTCCCAACTCCCCGAAGCTCCAAAAACCAAACTCACCTCAAGACCCTTAAGTTACTCACATCTGCAAAGTCCTTTTGGCTGTGAAGGATGACCTATTCCTGGGCTCAGGGGGTGAGGAGGGGTGTCTTTGGGGCTGCTGTGATCCTCCCACCCTGCATCCAACAGGCTGCATGAGGGCCTTTGTAATTCCTTCTAAAAGGTTTATCCTCCTTTTGTTTGTGTGGCTGCTGACCCCTTGTCATTCAGTTCTCTGCTTGCATTTCTCCCTGGCCCTTCTCACATCCCCCAAGCTCAGTGTTGGAGATGTAGGAGCCACTCCTAAATGCTTTAGGTTTTCGGCTGGAGTACATAATGCATATACACATACTCACCTACAGGACCGAGACGTTCCCTTTCCCCCACATTCCTATCAACTCCGGAATACCGTCAGAAACTTTAACACGATCAACCTGATAGAGGATAAAGGTTCCTCTCACAGTCTCAGGAACTGCCAGACTTTCCAAAGTTGCTCTCGCGTTGTGTAGTCCCACCGGAAGTGCCTGAGAGCGGTCCGGTTTCTCCCCCTCTTCACTAGCACATCCTCAATAGCATCACCACGATCATTGCCATCCTGGTGGATGTGAAGTGGCGTCTCATTACATTAATTGCCATTTCCTTCATGACTCATGGTGGTGAACAAGTTTTCATGTGCTTATGGGCTATTTGTTTATCTTTTCTGGAAAAATGTCTGTTCAAATCTTTTGCCTATTTAGATACATGGTTCCAGGTCCTGGCTGGTGTGGCTTAATTGATTGGGCATCCTCTCATGCACTGAGAGGTTGCCAGTTTGATAAACAGTCAAGGCACATGCCCATGTTTTGGACTCAATCCCTGTGGGGGTGGGGGTGGGGTGCAGGAGGTAGCTGATCCATGTTCTACTCTCACATAGTTGTTTTTCTCTCCTTCCCACTTCCTCTCTCTCTCAAAAATCTTTTTTTTTTTTTTTTTTAATGTGGTTGCATATCTTCTCAGGGTTGAGTTTAAAGTGTTCTTTATACACTCTGGATATAAATTGTTTCTTAAATATATGTTTGAACATATTTTTTCCCAGATCTGTGACTTATCTTTTTGACTCTGAACTCCTATTCCTTTTGTAAAAAAAAAAAAAAAATGTTTTTATTGATGTTTAGAGGGAGAGTGAGATAGAAACATTGATGAGAGAGAATCATCGATTGGCTGCCTTCTGTATGCCCCCTACTTGGGAACGAGTTTTCGACCCAGGCCTGTGTCCCGACTGGCAATCAAACCAGTGACCTCTTGGTTCATGGGTTAATGCTCAACCAGTGAGCCACAGCGGCCTGGCCAATTCATTTTTAATATGGTGTCATATTAAGACATCTTTATCCATGCCAAGGTCACATAGATCTCTTCTACGTGTTCTAGAAGCCTTTTATCATAGTTTTAGCTCTTGCATTCAAGTCAGTGACCCATTTGGGGTTTATTTTTCTGTTTAGTGAGAAGTAAGACTCTAAGCAAAGCTTTTAATTTGAGGAGGATATGAATATCCTTTATCCCATTCAATTACCTTGGCACTTGGATTGAATGTCAATTGATCACAAATGCAAAGATTCATCTCTGGGTTTCTATGCTGTTCCATTGATCTATATGTCAATTCTTACATTAAAATCACACTGACTTGGTTTTTCTGAATTTATGATAGGACAAAGCCAGAACCTTGTCCCAGTTTGCCTGGGACTTTCACAATTTTTTTAACTGAAAATTTCACCTTCCAGGAGCCCCATTAGTTCTGGGCAAACCAGGATAGTTGATCACCCTGTTTTAGAATAAATTTCAAAATCAGGTAGTAAGACTTCCGATTTTGTTCTTTTCAGATCCTCCATACGTCCATATCAATTTTAAGTTCAGCTTGTCAATTTGTAAGGGTTTTGAAAGGGATTACATTGAATCTATAGATAAGTTTGGGGAGAAATCTGCATCCTTTTAAACAGTTGCATAATATTCCACTGCATACTTGGGCAACAGATTTTTTACCAGCCTGCTACTCTCTATCCTTGAGAGACAAAATCTGATTGGCTGCTGACCAGCCAGTGGGTGGGCTCGCTTGAGTCCGGAGCTCACCTGGTCTAATCAGCCGCAAGAAGGTTCTCTTGGGCTGAGTTGAGTGACTGGGCAGAGATGGACATCTGGGGTCCATGGAAGGTGCGGGTGTGGCTAACCCAGCTCTGTCCCATGCAGGGCACCTTGGTCAACACTCTGCAAGAGGTGAAGCCTACTGCCTTCCTGGGGGTGCCCCGAATTTGGGAGAAGATACAGGCGAAGATAAAGGAAAGTTGTGCCAAATCCTCAAGCTTAAAGAATAAGGTGTTTTCGTGGGCAAGAAATATTGGCTTAAAGATGAATACAAAAAAGATGCAGGGGTAGGTGGAGGGCCAAGGGGGCTAGGTGGGGAGGGTGGTGGGTGAGGGGCTCGGCTGGGACCCAGCAGCCCATTTTGGATCCATGGCTATTGAGCTGCCCTTGGCACTGTCCATAGGTTGGTTGAGTCTTCCATGAGCTACCGCGTGGCGAAGACACTCGTGTTCAACAGAGTCAAGAGCAGCATCGGCTTCGATCACTGCCACATTTTTGTCAGCGGGGCCGCACCCCTCAACCGGGAGACTGCTGAGTTCTTTCTCAGCCTGGACATACCTGTAGGCGAGATGTATGGCATGAGCGAGTCCTCAGGCCCTCATACCGCATGCAACATGGATAACCTCCGGATGCTAAGGTACTGGCCTCCTGGATAGAACCCACCCCTCACCCTCAAGTCCTCCAGCAACACGGGGTCAGGGGAAAAAAGCTGGGAGAGTGGACAGGCCTCTGGGCTGAGATCAACTCTGTCTCGGGATCTCCAGAATGATCCCTGTGCTCTGGCGCCCAAGCTCCACATCTTCATGACCATGGGAAGCCCCCCCCCCCCCCAACCCCATTTGTCGGAGGTTCCACCGACAAGGGGAAGGGTTCTCAGAACGCCCCGTGGTCTCCCCCTGATTGCCGCTGGCGAGTGCTGCCTCTGGCGACCACCCAGACTCACCTAACCCGTCCACTTTCCCCCAAGCTCGGCTTGCCCCAGGCTGCAGGACTGAGCCCCGTGACACTGAAACAGCACGAACACCAAAGGCGAGGCCCGCTCCGAGTCTGAGGGCCATGCGCCTTCGCAGAACCTCCGGCCGGCTCTCTCCCTCCCCTGCTGCCATGTTGGGGGTCCGGCTTGTCTCTCGCGGTTGCAGCTGCCTTTGAACTTGGCAAAAACGAAGTTCAATCGTCCTCATCTGGCAATCTCACTTCTTGCCTTTACCTTGTAGGGGAGAGTGCCACCTTGATACCGCTCCCCCCTCCACTCCATAAATCCCAAGGCCCACCGGCGTGCTTCCAAAACCGAAGGGTGGCCCTACCCTGAAGAGGAGTGACCTTTCCCCAGTCCTGGAGGAAAAGCACAAACTCCAGCCTCTGTCTGTCACTGTTTCTTTTTCAGCGAGGGACACACACATGCACACACAGGAATCAGAAGGTGTAAAATGATAGCCTGGAAAGCTCCCTCCTTCCACTCCGCCCCCCCCCCCTCCCCCTGCTCACTGGGGGAGTGTGCTGGGGCTGCCATCACAAAGTCCCACCCACTTACACTACAGCAATTAATGTCCTCACAATCTGGAGGCAAGAAGTCCAAAATCAGGGTGTCTGCAGAGCTGGTTGTCTCTCTAACCGGTGAGGGGGAATCTGTCTCGTGCTCTCTCCCAGCTCTGTCCTCAGGCCTGCAACCTGCAGCCTCCCTTGGCTTCTAGCAGCATCTGCCTTCATCTCCCCATACGTGTGTCTATGTCCAAATTCCCTCTTTTTTTTAATATAAAGGACACCGCTAGTACTGGATTTGGGGCCATGCTACTCATGTATGTTCTCTTCTTAATTAAACCAATGACATCTGCAAGGATCCTATTTCCAAACAGGTTCACATTCTGAGATCCTGGGAGTTTACGTGCAAAATAGGAATGGAGGTTGGGGACGCAACTCAACCCATAACACTCTCCCAGAGGCAAAAGGACCACATTGTATTCCTTTAAATGAACCTGGCATAAGAGTGCATTGACATATATTTTTATCCCAAATGGAAGCATTTCCCATGTAAAAACTGACAAAAACAAAAACAAAAACCCAAATCCTCATCCTTTCTGCCTTGAGTTCAGGAACCAAAATAATCCAGAGAACATGACACCCTTCACTCTCTGGATTTGGTGCACAAACTTCCACTCAGCCTTGCCTCACACCATCCCAGCTCAGGGACCAAACAGATCCAGTAAGTAAGGCATCACTGTACAGGGTGTTCTCTGTCGGTGCGAATAGCTGGCTCGTTTTTAATGCACAGTATCCCACCAAGTGGAAACACCATAACTTACTTAGCTGGTCTCTTTTTTAGTGGATAGTTAGGGCATTTTTTTCTCTCCACTGTTTGTCACCATAAACCACATGTGTCAAACACAAGGCCCGGGGGCCAAATCCGTCCCGCCAGGCCTTGCAATGTGGCCCGCACCGCGCTGTCATCACTGCACTCCGCTGCGTTTCCATCACAATGACAGTTTATGACTGTTCAGTAAACCATTCGGCCCACGATTTAGGCTGGATTTTAGATTTTGGCCTCTTCTCTGATTGAGTTCGACACCCCTACCATAAACAATGGTAAAATGGATGTGTAGTATATATGCCATATATTTTGCTAAACCAATTCGAAGAAAATGGTTTGTCATCACAATTTTCCTTTCGTTGTAAATGAAGTTGAAAAAAATTTCTTCATACATTTAAAAGCCATTTGACAACAAGAAAGCTCCCTACATGAGAGAACGTATTTGCCAATGTTATCACCGATAAGTGTTAAATCTCCAACATTTACAGGGAACTCATACAACTTAACAAAAGGAGGATAAACAACCCAATCAAAAAATGGGCAACGGACCTAAATATTGAAATAAATACTTTTTGAAAGAAGACAGAAGGAAGGCCAAGAGGCATATGAAAACATGCTCAAAGTCACTAATCATCCGAGAGATGCAAATCAAAATGACAATTCGGTACCATCTCACACCTGTCAGAATGGCTATCATCAACAAATCAACAAAGGACAAGTGCTGGCGAGGGTGCGGAGAAAAAGGAACCCTTGTGCACTGCTGGTGGGAATGCAGACGGGTATAGCCACTGCGGAGAACAGTATGGAGTTTCCTCAAAAAACTGAAAATGGAACTCCCATTTGACTCCCATAAATCCCACTGTTAGGAATATATCCCAAGAAACTAGAAACACCAATTAGAAAGGATATACACACCCCTATGTTCATAGCAGCGCAATTTACAATAGCTAAGATTTGGAAACAGCCTAAGTGCCCATCAGCAGATGAGTGGATTAAAAAACTGTGGTATATCTACACAATGAAATACTACACTGCAGTAAAAAAGGAGTTCTTACCATTTGCAACAGCATGATGGACCTGGAGAGCATTATGCTAAATGAAATAAGTCAGTCAGAGAAAGTTAAATATCACATGATCTCACTCATTTACGGAATATAATCCTATATAATAAAAGTCTAATATTCAAATAGACTGGACGGCAGAATGACCTGTCAGTGGGGGGTGGGGCTGGTGAGCAGGCGGCACCATGCCAGCCAAGGCAGGTGCCAGCAAGCAGAAAGAAGGGATGGGGTGGCGGAGAGGTGATCGGGGGTGGGGCTGGCTGCTCACTGGCCAGCACTGTCCTCCAATTGGCCCGCGCATCACCTCCCAGAGGGAGGCCAGACTGATTGCATCAGTTGGACATCCCCCTAAGGCTCCTGGTCTATGAGAGGGCCTAGGCCAGGCTGAGGGACACCCCCGCCCCCAAGTGCATGAATTTTCATGCACTGGGCCTCTAGTGAACAACATAAACTGATGAACAAAAACAGATCCAGAGACAGAGAAATATCGATCAGACCATTAAACTTCAGAGGGAAGGTAGGGGAGAGGGGGGTAAGGGGAAGAGATCAACCAAAGATCTGTATGCATGCATATAAGCCTAACCAATGGACACAGACAACAGGGGGGTGAGGGCATGAGTAGGGGCGGGGGGATGGGAGGGTAATGGGGGAATAAGGACACATATGTAACACCTTAATCCAGTGGTTGGCAAACTCATTAGTCAACAGAGCCAAATACCAACAGCACAACGATTGAAATTTCTTTTGAGAGCAACATTTTTTAAACTTAAACTTCTTCTAATGCCACTTCTTCAAAATAGACTCACCCAGGCTGTGGTATTTTGTGGAAGAGCCACACTCAAGGCGCCAAAGAGCCGCATGTGGCTCAAGAGCCGCAGTTTGCCGACCACGGCCTTATTAATAAAGAAATCAAATTAAAAAATTAAAAGCCATTTGTATTTTCTTTTCTCTGAATTATCTGTTCATATCATCTGTCCCCTTTAAAAACTTTATTATTGGTTTGTTGGTACTCTTTATATATTAGTAAAATATATTTAGTAAAATCAGCCCTTTGTTTTTGACGAGTTGCCAATATTAGGTTTATCATTAGTATTTAGTTTTGTTCTTTTTTTTCCTTTTAAATATTTTTATTGATTTCAGAGAGGAAGGGAGAGGGAGAGAGAGAAACATCAATGATGAGAGAGAATCACTGCATGTCCCCTACTGGGGATCAAGCCCACAACCCGAGCATGTGCCCTTGACCAGAACTGAACCGGGGACCCTCCAGTCCGCAGGCCGATGCTCTTATCCAGTGAGCCACACCGGCTAGGGCAGTATTTAGATTTAGTTAAGGTGTTTTTGCTGTGCAGGATTTTAAAAAATCCTTTTATGGTTGAATGGACTGATCTTTTCTTTGTGGCTCCCGTGGTTTTCCATATTCCTTGAAAGGCCTTCCCTAAGGGGGCTCTTCGTAAATGTTGAGCTTCCTGTGGGTGCCTTCCTTTTTCTCTTGCTAACGAAGGGAATCCCTACATTAGCTCTGAGCCCATCGGCCCTTCGACCCGGGAAAGAGGTCTAGCAAAGCAGCATTCCCTTCTTCCCTGCGTTCTAAACCCTCTCCCCAGTGCTCTCTCCAGGAAAAGAAGTCTTATAAGATTCCAGATTTCAGATAGAGCTTTTCTGTCACATGGAAGGAACTTCTGGAGAGATTATGGTTGGTTGTCCTGGTCATTAGTTTACATCTGTTTGCTAAAAAAACAAAAACAAAAACTAAACTAAAAAAAAAAAAAAACACCTAAAACTACAACAAACAAACAAAACAACAACAACAAAAACCCACGAGGGCTTTGGCCACTCTTCTTAAGCCAGGAGCTCTTTGACCTCCTCCCACTTGTGTGGAGGTTAAGACCTACACGGTGCTGTGAGCCCCGGTTCACCAAGGGTTTGGGAACTGGACTCCCTGGATGGAACACTCCCTCTCTCTCACTCAGCAGACACCTCCGTCTGGTCCCCCATCCGCCCGGGGGCAGCCAAGTGGAGCTTGGGCTACAGACCCCGGCTGACCTGTGCGGGGGACTTTGTCGCTCTGAGCCTCCGTCTCCCTCCTTCCGTTCCCCGGCAGCTGCGGCAAAATCGTAAGTGGCTGTAAGAACATGCTGTACCAGCAGACCAGCGACGGCATCGGGGAGATCTGCATGTGGGGCCGGCACGTCTTCATGGGCTACCTGGATAAACAGGAAGAGACCATCGAGGTCATCGACGAGGAAGGCTGGCTGCACAGCGGGGACCTGGGCCTGATGGACAACCAGGGTTTCCTCTACATCACCGGCCGCATCAAAGGTACCAGGCCAGGTCCTGCAGGTATCTCCTGCAAACAGGCCCCTCCGAGCATGTCGGGGGCTGGCATACCAGCACTGACACAGGCCTCCGCTCTCTGCTTGGTGTGGGGAAGGGGGATCACATGGGTACACAGGGCCGTCCTGTTCTGCACATTCCAGCTCTGTCCTCGAGAACAGCCGTTGGCCCTCGGCAGGATGGACCAGGGAAAGACGCCCACCCCGTCCCTGAAACCCGTTTCCTGCCCTGCAATCTGAGATTAATAATAATCACAATGGTTGACTAAGGATTCGGTGGCATGACGTAGGACAGGGATTGGCCAACATTCCCTAGAAAGGGCCCTTGGAATATGGTCTCCACCGCAGCCATACAACTTGGCACACGTGTAGCGTAGAAGCAGCCACAGACAATGTGTAGACAAATGGATGTGTTCTAGAATTTTCATGTGCCCCAGATATTATCCTTTGGATTTCCTTCCAATAATTTAAAAATGTAAAACCCATTTTTTTTTGGCTCATGGCCATACAGAATCAGGCAGAAGACTGAACTTGGCTTGTAGACTGATGCAGACAGAGCAGTTGGCCCTGAGCCTGACATAGGGAATAACTGTTCAGTAAGTAGGTTCGAATGAAAAAGGGAAACACATTTGAATGAAAAAGTCCAAAAGGTCTTGCTTCAGGCATGGCTAGACTCAGGTGCCAAAACAATGGCAAAAGGAATCTCTTTATCCTTCTCTTACAGAGCTATTTTCTTTTTTTTTTTTTTTTCCTTTTCTTTTCTTTTCTTTTAAAATATATTTCATTGATTTTTTTTTTTTTTTTTTTTTTTTTTTTTTTTTTTTTTTTTACAGAAAGGAAGAGAGAGGGATAGAGAGTTAGAAACATCGGTGAGAGAGAAACATCAATCAGCTGCCTCCTGCACACCCCCTATTAGGGATGTGCCCGCAACCAAGGTACATGCCCTTGACCGGAATCGAACCTGAGACCTTTCATTCTGCAGGCTGACACTCTATCCACTGAGCCAAACCTGTTTCGGCTCTTTTCCTTTCTTTATTGATTTCAGAGAGGAAGGGAGAGGGAGAGAGAGATAGAAACATCAATGATAAGAGAGAATCTTTGATCAACTGCCTCGTGCACGCCCCCTGCTGGGGATTGAGCCCACAACCCAGGCATGTGCCCTTGGCCGAAATCGAACTGGGGACTTTCAGTCCACAGGCCAACGCTCCATCCACTGAGCCAAACCAGCTAGGGCTCTTGAGGCCATTCTTGAAAAGGCTTTTCCCCATTTGGTGACAGGATGGCTGCCAACAGGCTCAGCTTATCTTACCCCCTCAGGATTAGAGTGTGTTATTCCTCACAGTTTCAGCCCGAATCACTGTAGAGGATGGACTATACTGATTGGTCAGACCTAGTCACATGCTCACCCTGTAGTTCACCTGCCAAACCTCATAAAGATGTAGAGTAGTTCCTGAAGGAAACATCCCTAAGGGTGCATTTATCCGAAGGAGGAGTCACTGGGCAGACACCACCACCGATGTCCATTAAGTGATCATGTTATTACAATCGCCATAACGACATCAGAAATGCGATAACTGCATCCTAACCAGTTTGGCTCAGAGGATAGAGCTTCAGCCTGAGGACTGAGAGGTCCCAGGTTCGATTCTGGTCAAGGGTATGTACCTTGATTGCGGGCACAACCCCAGTAGGGGGTTGCAGGAGGCAGCTAATCGATATTTCTAACCCTCTATCCCTCTCCCTTCCTCTTTGTAAAGAAATCAATAAAATATATCTTTATATATATATATATATATATATATATATATATATATATATATCTTTATATATTTTTTATTGATTTTTTTTTACAGAGAGGAAGGGAGAGGGATAAAAAAATCAATAAAATAAAAAAAATTAAAAATATATATATAAAGATATATATATATATATAAAGATATATTTTATTGATTTCTTTACAAAGAGGAAGGGAGAGGGATAGAGGGTTAGAAACATCGATGAGAGAGAAACATTGACCAGCTGCCTCCTGCACACCTCCTAGTGGGGATGTGCCCCCAACCAAGGTACATGCCCTTGACTGGAATCGAACCTGGGACCTTCAGTCTGCAGGCCAACACTCTATCCACTGAGCCAAACCAGTCAGGGCAATAAAATATATATATTTTTTAAATGCGGTAACTGCGAGGTCCTGAGATGAGCTGGAGAGAGCTTGGGTGGGTGGAACAGAGTGTCCAGTTCCCAGGAAGAAAGAACAGCGTAGCTCTGGGAGAATTTTAGAGGCTTTGTTGGGGGGGGGGGGGGGGGGGGGGGGGAGACAGCATTTTTCAGATGTGCCAGCGTTAGGGATGTGGCACAAAGCCTCCGGGTAAGACTGGACGTAGGTTCCTTTGTGGTTGCCACGTGGTGGAACCATCAGGGGACAGAGACAGGCTGTGACTGGAAGCTTTTCGCTATCTTCCCAGCAAGACATAGGGCTGGAGCAGGGGATGGGAGGCTGAAAAGCAGGCAGTGCACTCATAAGACCCTGTCCCAGCGGAACGCACCGGCTTCCGACATTTCACGGGAATTTGAAGAAACTGGGCGGACGGGGGCCAAGGAGCGTGGGGCCTGTGGCTCAGACCAGGGCGCGTGCGAGTCCTGGCCGGGGGCGGGCTTCCTCTGCTGCTCCTGGGGTTTTCCAGGCGAACAGCCTTCTGTGCCAACACCCGTCCCCTCAGGCCCCGGAGGGTGGGGGTTTCCCGTGGCCACGGCTGAGCCCGCACAGACTGAGCCCTGTGTTCCAGAGATGCTCATCACGGCCGGGGGCGAGAACGTCGCCCCGATTCCCATCGAGAACAGGGTTAAAGAGAAGATCCCCATCGTCAGCAACGCCCTGCTCGTGGGAGACAAGGCCAAGTTCCTGAGCATCCTGCTGACGCTGAAGGTACCGTGGGTGCCCTGCGGGGCCTCCGCCCCGGGGTCCAGGGGCCTCCCCCCCCTCCCCCGTCCCGAGGGCTGGCCGGGGCCTGCGTGGGGGGGCCGGGTGTGGTGACAGGGGTGTTCCGGGCAGTGTGAGGTCGACGAGATGACGGGAGAGCCGCTGGACAAACTCAACTGGGAGGCCATCAAGTTCTGCCGGGAGGTGGGCAGCCCGGCGACCACCGTGCGCGAGATCGTGGAGCTGCAGGACCCGCTGGTCTACAGCACCATCCAGAAAGGCATAGAGGCCGTGAACCAGGAGGCCACCTCCAACACACAGAGGATTCAGAAGTGGATCATCTTGGAGAAGGACTTTTCCATCTACGGAGGAGAGCTGGGTGAGTGGCCTGGGGATCTGTGGCCTTGGCTCCTGGAGGCTGGTCCCCCGCTGGTCCAGGGCCATGTGGGCTGTGAGACGTGCCCTATTCTGGGGGCCAGAGGGTCTGCCAGACCAGCTGGGGACACCTAAAGGGATGCTGGCTCCTCTGTTGGACTGGGGCCCAGCTCCTCCCTTCTCCCCAGGGCAGCCACGCCCCTCCCTCTGGGGATAAAAGCCAAATTCCTTCCTGCGGCTCCACGGGACCTTTCCTTGTCACCGGCTCCATCCCCAGGGTGCCAGAGGTGGTGGGCCCGGGAAGTGGCCACCTTTTTCCTGGCCCTGTGCGGGGCACCTGGGCTTTGTTTGTTGGTTTTTCTCCACAACTGAACTGGTTTCTCCTTTCTCAACAGGTCCAACAGCAAAGTTTAAGAGAAATTCCATCATCCAGAAATACAGGAAGCAAATCGAAAGCATGTACCAATGACTTGACGGGCAGAGCAGCTCCTGGCCATCCCGATGGTGAGGCTTGGCTTCCCTTGGCTGTGCCTCAGCTGAGCCCAACAGAGGCGGGCGGTGTCCCGGTGAGAGAGGCGGGGTCTGTGAGCGGAATTGCGGAGGCCACATGGACAGGCGCACGGGCACTTCCGTTGCTGTGGGCTCCGGGTGGTGTCTGGCCCCACCTCCTGCTCTCCCTCCTAGGGCTGCGGCAGGGCACGTAAGCTCCTTCATGGCTGGCCGCCAGCCCGGCTACTTGTTCTCCTGGACTCTGCCACTTGTCTCAAAGATGAAGCAGGGCCATCTTTCCCACCCAGGACTAGAGGTTTTCATCAAACACCCCCCAGTGTTTCACTGTGGCCGGTCTGGAGAAGGCCTCTGTCAGAACGTCTGGTTTGGGGTGAGGGGGTGGGGGAGGGGTTCTACATGTCAGAAACCCCAGACATGACGTGTGTTGGCCCATCACCGATGGGGAGGGATGGAGACTGGAACTGCTCCTGCCGCTCCTTTTCCTCTCCTTTGCCCCACGTCTTGTCCAGAGGGGCCCCCAGGACATATGGTGCAGACAGAGAGGAGAGCGCATGGGCCGTTGTCTGAAGGGCTTCGTGGTCAAATCATTCTCTCCTGATGCCCCCGGACAGCACACCTGCATTCGTCTGCCAGGGCGGCTGTCACGGGGCACCAGACTTGGGATTTTTTCTAAAATATATTTTATTGATTTTATACAGAGAGGAAGGGAGAGAGAGAGATAGAGAGTTAGAAACATCGATGAGAGAGAAACATCGATCAGCTGCCTCTTGCACACCCCCTACCGAGGATATGCCCACAACCAAGGTACATGCCCTTGACCGGAATCGAACCCGGGACCCTTCAGTCCCCAAGCCGACGCTTTATCCATTGAGCCAAACCAGTCCTGGCAGACTTGGGATCTTAAACAACAAGAATGTTCTCTCTCACGGCTGTGGAGGTTGGGAGTCTGAGACCCGGGTGTGGGCAGGCTGGATCCTTCAGAGGCCTCTGCTGGGCTTCTCGAGGCCGTGCTCTCCCTGTGTCTGTGTGTCCCGACGCCCCCTTTTGTGCAGGACACCAGTCGCATGGAGCAGGGCTCATCCTAACGACCTCGTCCTCACCGATTACCTCTGAGTGCAAAGACCTCTGTCCCCAACAGTCACATTGTGAGGGTCAGGGGGGTAAGGACTTCAGCATGTGGATTTGGGGGAGGGGGACAGGGTGCAGCCGTACCACCACTGTCGCCCCTTTTCCTTTCTTTCTTTCTTTCTTTTTTTTTTTAATAAATATATTTTATTGATTCTTTTACAGAGAGGAAGAGAGAGGGATAGAGAGTTAGAAACATCGATGAGAGAGAAACATCAATCAGTTGCCTCTTGCACACCCCCTACTGGGGATGTGCCCGCAACCAAGGTACACACCCTTGACGGGAATCGAACCTGGGACCTTTCAGTCCGCAGGCCAACGCTCTATCCACTGAGCCAAACCGGTTTCGGCCCATTTTCCTTTCTTCATCAGGCGCTGGTTTAACTCTGCGCCTTCCTGTGCCACAGTCTTGTGGGTGAGATCATTCTTCATCTTTTGAAAGAGGTCCAGTCTCATTTTGCAATTGGCAAGACCCATGGACGTGGGGGCGCGGACCCGCTCCGCCTGTGCTGTCCAGCAGGGCAGACCCTGGCCGCAGGGGGCGCTGTGGTCCAACTGCAGGGGGCCTGTGAGTGTAAAACGCCCTAACGGAGAATGTACACTCCCCCATTAGTATGGTACGATATGCACGACCTGTTGGAATGATAATGCTTTGGGTATACGGGGTTACATACAAGATAGCATTTAAATCCATTTCACCAGGTCCTTCCTTTGTGGCTGCCAGAAAAAATATTTAGGCTCTCGGTGGCTCACATGGTATTTTCCTTCGGCAGCACAACTCTCACGTTCATTGGAGAGGGAGTCACGTTTTTCTAACTTACAGATGGAGTATCATGTGGAGTATCTCATCTCCCGGCGACCGCGGGGCCTCACGGAATGAACACCTTTTCCAAGGATCCCCAGGGGCTGACGTGTCTGTCTCCTCTCTCGGCTCCGACAGGCAGATCCCATCTTGACATGGATTTCCTGCCCCGGGCAGGGCCTCTCTCCCCTGTTTCTAGGAAGCCGGGTGCTGTCTGTGTCGGTCTCTCGTGGAAGACGTGTCCCCCGGGACCTGCCGCGCCTCCACGTGACAGGATCACGGTAGCTATTTGATTCCGCCACGGGAAGCTTGTGGGGGTCTGGGAAGAGCTGTCTGTCTTAGAAGGAAGGTGAGACTTTGTGGACTTCAACGCGGTGTGTTTTTCTCCCCAGAGGGCGGACGGAGACACCAGGAAGAACAGCATTCACACGTTTGAAGATCTGGGCCCCCAACCAGCTCGCCTCCTAGGAAGCCACTAGGAAACCCTCCAAGTCAGTCCCGATAATAAAGCACGTCAGCATCTCATGTCCGGACACCGCTTGTCCTTTGTTGAGAAGCTCAGTTCTGGGTTCAAATCCTGGCTGGCTGTGTGTTAGCTTGACGCTCTGAGTCTCGGGGGTGTTTTTCTCTGTAAAAATAGAGCCTCACCTCTCAGGGTGGCAGCGTCTGGAGCCTGAAGCTCAGGCACCTTCACTGTGATCAGCAGAGCACCCAGCTGGCCTCGGGGAGCAGCTATGGTTTCCTTTTCTATTTAGGTGGCGATAGGTTTTATTATCAGCTATGATTTTTTAAATTGATTTTTAGACGGAGAGAAAGAGAGAGGGAGAGATGGATTTGTTGTTCTGCTTATTTATACATTCATTGGTTGGTTCTTGTATGTGCCCGGACCAGGAATTGAACCCACAACCTTGGCATAGTGAGATGACGCTGCTCTAATCAGCTGAGCTACCCAGCCAGGGCCAAGAGCTTCTTGATGAATTCTCTGATTTTGGTTGTTGCTATTGATCCTCACCTGAGGATATTTTGTCAATTGAGTTTTAGAGTTGAAGGGAGGGAGGGAGAGGGAAAGGGAGAGGGAGAAGGAGAGGGGGAAGAGGAGGGGGAGGGGAAGAGAGAGAAAGAGAGAGAGAAATAGCAATGTGCTAGAGACATGTTGATTGGTTGCCTCCCTCGTGCACCCTAAATGGGGCCAGGAAATCGAACCTGCAGCCCGGTGCAGGCCCTTGACTGGGAATCAAACCTGTGACCTTTCAGTGCATGGCCAATGCTCTGACCACTAAGAAACACCAGCAATGGCTGAATCCCATTTTTTGGGATGAGTTGTGCAGTTGTCATAAGGTCCGAAATAACAGCAACTGAAAGACAGAAGTTTATTCCTCTCTCAGCCAGCACACCCTGCACAGGGAGGCCAGTGGTGGGAGCAGGCAGGGCCATCTCCCAGGCAGAGGACAGCCCAGCGGGACAGGAGAAAGGAGCCTTCCCGTGTCCCTCCGGCTTCTGACACCCAGACGCACGCAGCCCAGAGCCCGTTTTCTTTTTAAGATATAAAATCATAAATAGATGAGGAATATATTGAGCCATTCTCCTTGCAAAAGAAATGTAATGCTATGTGGGTAAGGCTTAAGTCATATTTGATGACCCTCCTCATCTATTTGACAGGTTTTCATGGGGGGAAAAAAGAAAGAAAAAAGCTTTTTTTTTTATTTTTTATTTCAGAGAGGAAAGGAGAGGGAGAGGGAGAGAGAAACATCAAAGATGAGAATCATCGGTGGGCTCCTTCCTGCACGGCCCACTGGGGATTGAGCCAACAGCCCGAGCATGTACCTAGACCGGGAATCGAACCTCAACCTCCCGGTCGATGCAGAACCACAGAGCCACACAGGCCTGGCCAGATTTTCGTTTTTTAATATGTAAGTTCAGTCAACCCTCTCTATTTGCCAGTTCCACATTTGCAAGCTTGCCAATCACTAAAATGTATTTGTAACCCCAACATCAACACTCCAGACGCTTTTGTGGCCGTTTGTGGGCACGCACAGAGCAGGGAATATTTGAATGGCTTGACATTCCCAGCTGAGTTCAATAAGTAGTTCTCTGCCCTGGCTGGTTTGGCTCAGTGGATAGAGCGTCAGCCTGCGGACTGAAGGGTCCCAGGTTCGATTCCAGCCAAAGGCACATGCCTGGGTTGTGGGTTCGATCCCCGGTGGGGGGCATGCAGGAGGCAGCCAATCAGTTATTCTCTCTCATCATTGATGTTTCTCTTTCTCACTCTCCCTTCCTCTCTGAAATCAATAAAATATTTTTTTTTAAAAAGTAGTATTCTGCCTGCTCCCTTCAGCTCATACTATACATGCATGGCCTTTTTTTGGTGGGGGGAGGTCAATTTAGTGCCCCCTCCTTTTTTTTTGCATTTTTGTTGGCAATTTTGTTGTTGAATGTGGCACCTTATGGAAAAATATGTGTTAGGTAAGCTTCATTCAGGCATGAATTATAGTGCTGCTGGTCATGAATTCAATGTTAATGAATCAACAATGCGTATTAAATATGATGTCCTTGGGCAGAAACACACATAATATGTATTGATTGATAGAAATGTGACCAGAGGCTGCCAGGAGCCTCACCCTGTATTTCTTGTTAATTCAGTGCTTAATGCAACTTTATAGAACATCCCTGACTGTACATAAATATGCAGGTACAGTAGGGAGAACAGAATTACTATATATATATATATATATATATATATATATATATAGAGAGAGAGAGAGAGAGAGAGAGAGAGAGAGAGAGAGAGAGATCTTCCCTTTTAGGATGGAGGGAGTTAGCATGGGGTTGAGGGTATAAGGTGAGAATTGTGTGGGCATCTTCAGGGAGACCAGTGGCAGGCTTGGAGATCAAGGTTATGGAGCAGTGAGGGCAACCTGAGGCGGCAGACTGAGCTGTGACTGGATATGTTGAGCAAATAAGGAAATATACTGAAGAAAGTAGAAGCTGAGTCTCTCGTCACCAGAGGAGAGGTTTTGGAGAATTAGATTTGA